GGGGGGGGGGGAGCGGGTTGGACACATATGTACATTGAAAACCAAAAAATATCAGTGAAGTAACTCATTTTCATGCACGTGGGTCCTTGGAAATCATTGTGCAGGGTCTCAGGGGCGACATTCACATCGGACTGGCCAGATGTGAATGCAATTCAAAGGCATGCATGCATGTTGACTAATCATTTCTGGCAGGGAGCATGCAGAATGAGTGGCGGTCAACAGGCCCTTTTTTGCTGATTTCAAAGACAGCAATAAAACAAAAACAAATCGCCAGCCTCGTCTCGTCCCCCACCTCCCCACCCAGTGCCATAAAGTATTTACATTGGAAACACTTTCAGGAGCATTCACCGAAAAAAGATGGAAGGCGTTTGAAAACATGAAAGATGATTATGGAAATAATTCCATAAATGAAAGTGTTTGTTCAATAGCCAAGCTCTTCTGTGATCTATTGTTATTTGGGGATATTCTAACAGCCACTAGGAGGCAGAATAGCGGTCCACCTCTCTTCTTTCATGAGATTTTATTTTACTTACTTCTCCTTTATCAACATGTGGCTGGTTTGCAAATTAAATGGAAAAAATCAAGTCATGGACCATTCTTCAAGGTCAGCTTGGCTGGAAATAGACACCTGCTGTTTCCATTTTAATTTACAGTAAAACCTCACTGATTCAGAGTAAGGGGAGTGGAGAGAGGCTAGTCTGTCAGCATAAAAGCCTAAATTATTGGGTTTCCTAAAAATAGATAGTTGCTGCTTTCAAATGCAGTCTGTACTGAGCCTCAAAGGAGAAGGTACTCACTGAACGCACCATAAATGTAAAAGCGTTTTTTCAAAACTTCTAATAACCATAGATAAATTGACATGTACGTTGTAGGTTTAATTTCACAGGTCCTGGGATGAAACTTTAAGAAGAGCCTTTAGAATTTCCAGAGAAAGTTGAGGTCCTGTCAAACATTTTACTTAAGAAAAATTAAAAGAGCCACAGCTGCGATTGGATTGTCACAAATTTCAAGTGTTTGGGTCTGAATCAATGAGGTTTTATTGTAGTTTTACCACCTGGAGATGAGAGCCCTGAGGTTTGGGGCTTGCTCCACTGACTACCTGGCTGAACCCCCAGAGGCGGAAATCCTCAGCCCACCCCTGGGCTCTCCCAGCCACTTGCTTTTTAGGCGGAGACCTTCCACGCATCAGAACTCAGAACTCGCTGGAGCCCCACTCCCACCCCCAGCCCTAAATGGAGGGCTGACTCTCATCAGCCCTGATGTGGAATATTTGCAAAACTCACAAAGGCACACGAAATGTTGGCTGGTACTGATTCTTTTGTTATTTGATTAACTTTACATTTTCAGGGTCAGTCTAAGAAAACAGTTCCTGGGGAGACTGAGTTGCCACCCCCCTTTTGCTCTCTAGGATGACAGGTCAAAACAAAACAAAACACCAGCCCTAAATGCCTGAAATTAAAAACTATTTAGCCCAACCTCGTACCTGGTTCTTACCACCTTTATTTAAAAGTTGCAAACCAGAGACCATAAGCAGCACCCTCCTTTACTATCTATAGAGAACTCAGGCCCTCATTGGAATTTAATAAATTATTGAGCAATTGCCTACGGTTGCGGTGCTAATAATCATGTAGATAGGTAGCCCTGCAAAGGGCAGCGGCTGTTGCGATATGAATGCTCACTATTGAATTCTGGCAGAGAACTTAGGATTCTAGTGAACAGAGGGTTCAGGTACAGGGGTGCTAGGAGGAGCAGATCTGTGTCTCTGTGTCCAGGGTGATTCTTTCGGAACCTCATAATGAAAGTTGACTCTGGGAAGGAGAAAAGCTTCTGCTAAGGGCAGTAATGACCAAAAAGGGATGTTGTAATTTCAATCAAATGAACAGAGTCTGCGTGACTGGATTGAGCCAAGCAAATCTTTAAAATTAAAAAACAAAACAAGATTTATTGATTGTATGCTTGTGCAGACAGGTGAATGCTATTTTTGTACACGAGCTAACTCAACGTTTGTGGGCCTCAAAAGTCTTTAGAAAAGTTTCCNCTGTGGGCATCAAAAGTCTTTAGAAAAGTTTCCCAAAGAAAATAAGAAGTTGTACTTCGGCTTCTAAATACTTACCTAGTGCTTTTCATTATTTAAAGGCAAAGGTGTATGCTTTAGGGGTACAGTCAACCACACTGAACACACTGTATTTTTGTACACAAATTACATGTATATATGTACCCCTCTGTGTACTAACACAATACATATATACATATACATACATATACATAGAGAGAGAGAGATTGGGAACTTGAAGCAACAATACATGAAAGTGTAGTTCCTGTGTGCGTGTGCGTGCGTGTGCGTGTGNCGCGTGTGCGTGTGTGTGACAGAGAGAGAATAACACAGGCTCTGAGAGCAGAACTGAGCTGCACTTAAGAGATGACTATGACACTGCATGTGTGCGTATGTGATCTATTTGTACCTGTAGAGAATTTTTTATATTGGAATTTACTTTATATTGGAATTTACTTTATATTGGAGTTTAAAATGGCTTTAAGGATTANGATGACTATGACGCTGCATGTGTGCGTATGTGATCTATTTGTACCTGTAGAGAATTTTTTATATTGGAATTTACTTTATATTGGAATTTACTTTATATTGGAGTTTAAAATGGCTTTAAGGATTACTGTTTTTTTGGTGGGGGGGCAAGTCTACTTGCCACTTTCATTTGTGGTGCCACCAAACATCGTGGGCACGTAGCCACGTTCCGTGCTGGGACTTAGTCATTTTCTAGAGTTCGCTGAGCATGGGCAATAGGAAAAATTTTTCATACTTCAGCCTGGTGTTTAGTGTGCCAGGGCCAGTCCTACCGCTGGCTGTACCCGGTGGCTCTTGACCCGGCCATGTACATGAATCAGCTGGGCAGTTTGAAAAATTACCAATACTCACTTCCTCCCCACAAGATTCCAACTAATGGAGCTGGGAAGAGACCTGGGCCTCAGCAAGTTTTAAGAGCTTTCAGATGATTGCAACCTGTCAGTGAACACTGAGGACAGCCCCACCTTGAAACAAGCCCGCTGTACATCATTCATTTGGTCTCCACCTAGCTTTGTCCTTTCTACCATTCTTTTTATATATTTTGCTTCCTTACCAACTTGTTCCTAATCATACAACGTCCAAGCTTTGCTGAGTGCCTACTATGTGCCAGGCGTAATACCAGGCACTCGACCTAATGCAGCCTGCGTCCTAGCAACAACCATCTGAGCTAGATGCTATTGTTACCTCCAATTTACAGGATAAGAGAGGTTAAGTAACTAGGCCCAGGTCACAAAGCAAGGAAGAGGCACAGCTAGGGTTCAGACTCAAGGTCCCCTGGCACGGAGCCTGCGCTCCTGGTCGCTCTGCCTGTCACTCCTTGAAGGCTGAGGCTGCCTCGTGCTTCCTTGTCCTTCAGAGAAGCACAGAAGTCGCCACCTCAGTGTTCAGCGCATAGGTAGCTTTTGATTGATTAATGAAATTTTGTGATTGGGTGAAATTACTAATTCAGGAAATAATGCTGTACATTTATCTAAAAGCAAACTGAGTCTCCAAATCCCAAAGTATGCTGAAGTTTTCATTCCTAACTTCTAAAGTTAGTAAATGAAAACAGAACTGAACTGATTTCTTCCCTATTAATTTACCCCAAATTGCTTTTAAATATGTAAGATTAAAATATTTTTATGATCATGGTGACTAGGGCCTTTTAAGGTGATGATCAGCACTTAGTGAAAAAGTGTTTGGGGGAAAAGTAAAAAAAACCACACCTGCCTTTTTTGGAGTATCAGCTTTCCTTTGGTACATCTTTTGAGTAACTTGGGAAAATAGTCACCCTTTCTTAGCCCATAACAGCCTCAAAAATGACTTGATTACAAATCAAGGACGCCTGTCATTTTCCTTCCCTCATTTAATTAAAAGTACAACAGGGCCTGAGGAAGACCATCTTCTCTGTACTCGTGTCTTCAAAAATGTCTAATCTGGCTGCTCACCAGGGGAGGGCAGGCCGGGGCCCACCACGCCTCTGGCGGCGCTCCCGAGGACACCCGGAAAGAACACACTTACCGTCACTTGAACCCCAAGTGTGCCCAACCTGAGAAAAACATCAGATAGGATAGAGTAGAAAAAAATTCTAGCCCCACTTAATTTTACATGTCTGGAGGTTCGACCCAGGTTCCTGTTTGGCGGGTGCTGCTTGGGCCCCTCTCCTCACGCCCAGCTGTGCGTTGCTGGGGGCCATAGAAGTTACACCCACCTCAAGGGGTCTTCACCCCGTTCTTAGGAGGGTTCCAGAGAAATATGACTCTGTGGCACTCTCTCTATATATAAATACTGTATATATGCTTCACAAACAGATAGTCTTAGAGGAAGATTAGTATCACTCCGGGCAGCTACTGGTTACCATGTTCGGAACTCATCATCTGCTGTAAGGACAGACGGACAAAGGAGACTAGGACAGGCCGAGGACAGCATCACGGCAGGTAGGAGGCGTGTGTCGGGATGTCACTGCAGTCGTGGTCAGGTGTATCGATTGCTTCATGCACGCACGAGAGCATCACCCCACATGTGCCCTGCCGTGGAGGGCCCCCCATTTCACAAGCAGCCCGCTGGAAGTTGCCGTTACATTCCTTGGTCAGTGTTAGAAAGCAGGAGCCCCCAGGAAAGTCCCATCGGAAGACATGGTACCGGGAGGGCATGCACGGACTACACAGAAGGTGGCTGGCTCATTCGGTTTAGTCACATACCTCTTTCCCCTGCCACGACCAGCCACGATCGAGTGGAAGAGTAGAAAAACAGGGAGGAAATTTAGATACGCAATCAGGCATTATTCGGGATGACTGGGTTTATGTGTGTTAGATGTCAGCTAACTGTGCTGTCAGCTTTCACTTAGTCACGGCAGTGACCCTTTTAGGTGCTTGAGAAACTACTTTAATGGAATGCCTTTTCTTCCCCTTTTGCTGTAGAGTTGAACGGAGAGGAAGCGTGAGAATTAGTGCAGTTTTCGGAAAGGTGGTTTTGAGACCTAGGATCTGAAGTCCCAGTTTTGAAGCAGGCAGTGATACCATAGCGGAACCTTGGAATCTTCCTGGGCAGGGTCGGGTTGGTAAGTCCTTACAGGCTTGGGACTTAGCCTGGAATCCCTTGGTTCATAAGTATTATCAACACAATCATTTTGACAGTGGTTTGTAAGAAAAAGCAAGCTGTGTTTGTTTAGGTGTGTGCTGGAGAATCGACAAGTTGAACAACACAGAGTAATTCCCTTCTGTCGCTGCGTTTAGCCACCCAGGTCACCGGAGGTCAACAAATGCGTAAGTGACGGAGATACATCCAAAAACGTGGCCTGCGATCCACACCCCGAATAAAAATAAATAAAAACAACCGTGGTGGCCACAGAAACAACCACAAAAGACCAAGAAGTATTTCGTGTGCTCTGGAATAACATTTTTAAAATACACTCACCTCTTTTGCGTGTCGCTAGAAACATCTGAAACCTTCAGCTGAAACGTACAAGAGGCAGCCCCTTCCCGGCTGTTCTCAACAACCTTCCAAAGGCTTGGCCCTGCCCAGCTGCCCCTTGCCTGCTCTTTGCAAGGCCATTCGAAAGAGAAGGGGGTCAGGCATCTGACCGACAAGGTGACCCGTGACCCGCTCACCTCTGCGTGGTGCTCCTCATTCTGCTGCAGAACCTCGATGACCAGCTCAGCGAGGCGGATCGTGTCCTCCAGCTTTTTGGCGGGAGTGATTAACCGGCCTACATTTTCTGTAGTACAAGAATTTGTGTTAAAATCCAGCGAAAGCGTCAGCCTAGTCTGGTGGCCATTAGAACGGATGGATAAGAAATTTTGAAGAGTTAACAGTTTTTAAAAAAAGTGTCATGCAGATGTTAGGAGCCACAAGATTAGTAGTGAGCAAACCAGAAAGCCATTTTAGTATTATCATCACCATCATCATCATCATCATCATCATAGATGCTAAGAAAAAGCAGTGCTCCAGCTTCCAATTGGCATCTTAAGCGACGCGGTCTACGACAGCCCATTTCGAATCGAGTGACATTTTGTACACACGTTCTTTAAAGACAGCATATTTATACTCTCTTGTATCACTCTCTAGACTGTGTGTGTGCTCCTTGAAGCGGGGAGATGTAACAGAAGCTTAATCTTGATTGCTGCTACATTTGTTTCCTGGATTTGTCCTTAAACATTCGATACGACAGAATATTTTTCATTATAGGTCTGCAAGTTTCATAGGTACTGGAATGTTCATTTAAAAAAAAGCAGAGTCAAAGGTCTGGCTGTTTTGAGTTGTCCGGGAAGGAGACTGAAACTTAATGGACATTTCTGGGCCATTAGGTAGGAGGCAGGATCATATTATTTAAAGGATTATTGGATGAAGTAATGGTAGTCTTTGGCGCTGGTCGGCACAACTGAAATCTTATCGGTTAGGTGGCAACAATGTACTCGAAGTTTTTCTCTGCTTTTAGTTTCTATTGTGCTGAAAGGGTTGTGTTTTTATCTGACTCAAGAACAAACTGAACCCTGGTTTCTGCTGCCTTCTTTACAGAGCTGAATTCAGGAATGTTTGGCAATGTCATTATGTTACCCTAACTTATAAACTTTTTTCCTGGAGGAAAAGAGTAATATTTAAAATATAAAGGATTTTTCTCAGCCAATGAAATTACCTGGATTCAACCAGTCTGAACTCACAGGNCGTTACCCTAACTTACAAACTTTTTCCCTGGAGGAAAAGAGTAATATTTAAAATATAAAGGATTTTCTCAGCCAATGAAATTACCTGGATTCAACCAGTCTGAACTCACAGGGATCTTGTATTTCATGCTTAGATCCTTTCAAACCTTGAAGCCTCAGTCAGTGGGAGGCCCTGGGATATAACGGCAATAAAGGTCATTTAGCACGATTCCACAGGTAGGCATGTGTGTGCAAAAAAGGACAGCCAAAACTTGTTTTTCATCCGAAGCAGACTTGTTTTGGCTCCAGGATTTTTCTTCCTAGGGGAGATTACTTAATACTTCCCAGGAAGGTTTGTTGTTTTGTTTTGTTTATGGGGGGCAGTGTTTAAACAAAATCATAGGAGGTTGGTTGCACCTTTACAAAAAAAGTGCCCTATAATTTTCTCTTTGTGCATTTGTTAGATAGGTGATGAATATATCAGATGGTCAGTAATTTAGGATTTAATAATGAAAAACAAGTTCAGTGAAATACTGTGCAAGATGAGTGTCCCAGCGCCTCTGGGAGCTAAGAGTGGTGGATGGGACTGGGTCAGATTATCGAGAGAATTCAGTCCAGTGAGGCCTGGTGACTGGTGTGAAAATGGGCTTTCTGGATTCCGGCCAATGGAAAGCTCCATTGTCTCTGCCATGCTCAGGTGGAGATGTGGCTGGATATGGTTAGGGCCTGACGGTGGGAACTGCGGGGGAACATAAATATGCAGATCAGGCCGCCAATATCCCACACTCAGCAGAGGGTGCATGGCGCTCAGGGGCTGAGAGCACATTGCCTGGGCTAGAGCAATCGATATTTGGGGAAGCAGTGAGTGATTTGTGTGCTTTTGGGGCACCTGGCCTGTTTATAATTTCATAAATGGACTGTGATAATTTCATTAGCAGACTTTCAAGCATTTCTACAAACATACTGTGTATATATGTTTGGGTAATACGTGGAGAGTGAGGTACTTGCATTTTGATAGTAAATATGCATAGCTACTATTTTTTATTAGTTGATATTCACATCAATTTGCAAATCCTCATTCTATGCTTATTACCCATTCGACACATACGCCCCCACACACACCACACACTTACATACGTTTTCTAGTAACCAGACAAGCCTGCACATTAACACAAATCTGCAGGAAATCCCACTTGGGCACATCTTTGAAATCGTTTGCTTTAAAAATAGGGAGCATTGTCCTTTTGGGTGGAACACTCACCAAATCTAGGGGAATTCTAGCTGTACATGGCAAATCATGTAGAAATGAAATAATTCCCACCGAAATTTTTATGCGCTTTCATTTAAAAACTCTGAATGATATTTGTGTTTAGAGAAACCCAAGCTGCTTAAACCAGGACCCCCTGAAGATTTGTTTTAATATGCAGTGCTTTTAGATTGACTACAATATATATCGATAGATACACATAAAGTGTATATGTGCACGCAGCCATTCTGTGGGTGTGTGTACATGTACACAGACATGTGTATGCCTGACGTATATATACAGACAGTATGTTTAATAAAACCTTTTGCAATTTTACTTTAACATGCAACTTATTAAAGTAAGCAGGTTAAAGTTCCTTTAATCTAGAATGCTTGATCTTCCAATTAACCCATGTAGCCAAGACTTCCATTTACTATTAATCAGCTGCAGCTCCACTGTGTGGAGATTAAGCCACTTTATTGAGACATAACACTTTTTTCCTCTTCATTTGCATTAGCTAGCTTCGTAGCTGAATGGCAAAAAATGGTACTAAAGAGACTTCTCTAAGATGTTGTCTTTAAAGAAAATATTGTGCAAAATCCTCTAGCACCTTCTCCCTCCCCCAACAGAGGTCAAGGAGAAATTTGAGCTTAGAAATGACTTTTTTTGGGTCTGTTCTGCTGTTTTGAATTGTATTGCAACATTCCTATCAATCTTATACTAGCTGGAGCACTGATGAAGGGAAACTAAAAATACAATATTCTTATTAAACATTTCATACAACAGAATTGAAGCTCATAACATATAAAAAAAAATCGTCATGCAAAATGTTATGCAACAACAATGTTATTTTGTGCTGACATTGAGATTTGAAAATGTTGCATATGTCAGACATAGCTAGACAAAAAAAAAAAAAAAAAAAAAGG